CTTGCTGTTGCTGATTTGGAAATACTATTCACTTTGTGGGTGATTTTTCCAAGTGTCAGTGACTCTCTCTCTCTCTCTCTCTGATGATTTCTCTGAGAATGTAATTGTGGAGCATACAATAATATAATAAAAAATAATAAGCTGAGTGATCCTTGATTCTCTTTTAATTTGTTATTTTTTAAGACAACTGTGGAGATGTGAGAATGATTCTTCCAATATGTATTTAGAAAAAATCACATATGTAAGCCTGAACAATTCAACGATAATTAAGCGGGACAATTGAGGCTTAAGCGGTTAAAGTGCCCCTACATAATTAGCCATATAAACAAACCAAACATTCTATCATGCTCGAGTCAGTCTACTATGGTGTCATATAATTGATGCACTCATACTTAAAAGGGAAAAATCATTATTTTAGACGTTACTACCCATTATCAACTTGAGTCATTTTAGTTTCATCTGTTAGCCAATTAAACCAACAATTGGCTTCATAGCAAAATTGTTCGTTTCACTTTATTTTTTTACTAATATCCACATCCACTCCTTGAAGAATTATGGACAAAAAGAACAACTGTTAATGCCAATAATTCTTGAAATTGTTTATGGGAAGATTAAATGTATACAAATATTTCTGCTCAAAACGAGTCTTTTTGGTAATTAATTTTGAAAAAAAAAGTAATATAGTTAATTGTTAGTGAGATTTTGATGTAAAAGTATAAGAGAGATAATATGATATGATAGTTAGTTAAATAATGTGAGTGTATTAATAGTAAAATAAAGTTGATTTGATGTATACGAATGATTGTTTGGTAATATTTTATTATATTGATAATATTCGAAATAGTGATGCTGAGTTAAATTAAATTAAATTTTGAGTATGGATTGAGTTAAATTCGAACAAAAAAAAAAATTGAATTAATCAAACATGTTTAAAAAATTTATGTATTAAATTATTCAAAAACGAACGAGCTCGAACATGACTTTTGCTCCGAAAATAAACGAACGAACACGAACAACGTTCAAACATAAACGAACACGAACTCGAACAGCCCAAACTCACTTAGTTTTCGTTTGGTTGCAACAATATAGCTTGCCTTTGGCCTTTCCCTATATTTTTCAGGTTTCCACCTCTCTTATTCTCCTAATACATTTATTTATCACACCAACTATCCATGTAGTAATATATTGTCTCCACCAATCACCAAATTCTTACATCCATCCAAACTTCGCCTGCAAAATTCTTAAAAAACGCAAGCAAATTGGTGTAGAATAATAATAATAATAATAATAATAATAATAATAATAATAATAATTAATTATTATTATTATTCTTATTATTATTATTATATAGGTATCTTGGAGAATAAGTTAGGAAATTAATATTATTATAAGAGATCTTGTCTTGTTGGACAAGTTAAGAATAGGTTTATGAGCCTTATTTAAAGGACTCATCTTCTATTGTTTTATTCAGTTGATAATGAAATAAAAATTGATATCGTATTTTGGTGTTTTTGAGATTGCGATCTCGATCTCATTAATATCGTCCCAATCGTACGCTTCCCTACATCAGTTGGTATCAGAAGTCAATGCCGCCGCGGAAGGATGACATCGACGGGCGTGATGCCACCATTAAGTATCTGGGTCGACAACGATTCAAGATGCCGCCGCGGAAGGATGACATCGACGGGCGTGATGCCACCATTAAGTATCTGGGTCGACAAGCCACGGGCTTCGGCCGCCAGATCAATCAATTGGATCATCGGGTTGAGGATCTTTCGACGGAGATCCAAGAAGTGTGTCTTACGATCAACAACTTGGTTGAGGATTTGCAGACGAACCGTGACACCGACAACCGGGGTATTCGCGGGGA